TATGGAATTAAGAAGAAAGGTACCTGTTACTACATCTGGGGTTGCTTCTGCCTCGTTCTTTTTCATCTGGAACAATCTAGCCCTGGCTCCACTCTGGCCTCCCCTCGGCGCACTAGGCCTTCCACGATTATCCATTGTCAAATGAGGAGCTCTTAATTGTGGACAGTTTGGTCGGATATGGTCAAGTGAATTGCACTGAAAACATCTTTTGGGTGTAGTGCAGTCCCTTGACAAATGCCCTGTCTCCCCACAATGATAACATCTCTTCGGTTCAGAGGGGCAACTTCCCTGGTGTATCTGTTGACACTGTGGGCAGGTTCTAACATGAGGTAATTGAGGAACACGCTTATCTGTTTTAATAAATTTGGGTTCTCGAAAGCTGACTAAAGAACCCTCCCACTTTCTTTTCTCAATAAATTTCTCTTCACCTTGTCGATTTTTATTTCTTTCAGTAACTTCGGCAGCATTGACGGCTAAAGAGAAATTTTCAGGGTTCATAGCAATCATGAACTCTCGAATAGAAGGTTTCAGACCCCAAATATATTTTTCTACCTTTCGAGATTTTGAAGATACGTAATGTTCAGCAAAACGGGAAAACTCAATAAATTTCTCGGTATAATCCCGTACAGATCTATTCCCTTGTTCCAATTTTAGAAAATCCTCTTCCATTTGTCTTACTGCAGTCGTAGGACAGAATTGTGTTTTAAATTTACTCACAAATTCTTCCTAAGACATTGTTTGCAGTATATTCGGTTGTGCCGAGGCCTCCACATCCCACCAATATAAGACATTAGATTTGAGCATAGATACTGCAAATCTAACCTTATCTTCTTCTGAACACCTACTAGTGTTGAATACTGATTCGATCTCTTTTATCCAACTTATCACTTTAACAGGATCTCTCTCTCTCTCTCTCTCCTAAAAAGGTTGGAAATTTACATGTCAGAAACATCTTTATATCTCTTCCCTGATTATTGCTGCTTGCTGAAGGAGCCGGAGGATTAATTTCAAATCGCTCGGTTTCTATTCTAGTTAGCAGTCCCATAATGGATATCAAACTTTCTCTTAGCTTCCCCATTTCTTCTGCCAAAACATCTCTTGTTATGAACTGAGGTTGTTGCCTTTCTTCTTGATGAGCATTTCCAGAAATAGATTCCCCTTGATTAGGGCGAATCTCGGCCTGACTCTTCTCAGGAATCTGACTTCTTCCTCGACCCCTACCCCTACCCCTACCCCTTCCACGTTCTCTAATCCTTGAAGTATTGGTTGGTGGATCAACGGGAGATTCCTCCCTTTCTTCAGATGCAGGGCGAACGGTTCTCTCTGATCTTCGTGATCGACTAGACATCTGCAGATATTTTAGTATTAAATATCACGTATTTACATTCCCAAATATAATATGGTGTCTGAGTATAGGTATGTACATGTAAATTCATAATTACATTGGCCATTTGTAATTTGAATTCACCTTACATACTGCCTCCTTTAACCCATTATATTTTACTCCCAGTGACACTAATAATATCCGGGATCCCTTAACATGCAAATGACAGTTTAAGTCTAGGCATCATGCTTTGAATACCTAAATCTCTTAAACTAAGGCTCTAATACCACTTCTGTAACAACCCCCAAACACCACATTTGCATATAACACATATTTCATTACATAGAAATATAGTTTACGTCACAAGGTCTCACTAGTACAATGATTCTTATATGTACAAAATCTACATATGAAAAATTCCAAAATAAATCATGTACTAACRCATGTAATACAACATGTAACTTCAAATTAAGTCATCATAAGCAGATCTTCAAAAGCAGATAACAGATTGGGAAAATAATCACATTTTTCCTTTCCCTTTATCATCCCTGGATCCTACCATTCCTGCATTGCATAATTTTAAAACAGAAAATGAGGGTTAGACCAGAAGGGTCTAGTGAGTGAATCTCTTCTTTGCAAATGCAAGGTGATAAACACCAAAATATAATAAAATATCTTTGTTCAGGAATATTTGCAATACATTCAAATAAAGCAGTTCTCAATGACATGTATAATAGGATAAATCGAAGAACCTCAGTTGTTATTAATAAATACATATGCTTAAAGATTCAACGTTCCCAATATGAAATAAATATTTTAACCAAAACTTCTTTGAATTATCAGATCATTCCTTTGTAATTATTAACGGAAAGATTTAAGGCAATACTTGCCCTTTTATGACAAACCATTTTCTTCTTCTCAATAACATCTAAATTATTATTTCTAATAAGAATGATATCTCTAATTCATCAGGTCACAAAGAAATGATGACTCAAAGTTATTAAATCCAATTAGTAATAATAATAAGAGTTATAATAACAATATTCGCATATGATAATGCCGCCCTTATTCCAAGTACACCTCTCCTTGATATGTCACCCTTATTCCTCCATCAAAACAGAGCTACTTATCAAAACAGACAAAAGTCACCACATCTGAAAGTACCCATTCCCAGTTCCAAGCCAGAACAGACAAAAGTCACCACGTTTGGGGGGACTACCTCTTAAAACAAGTTTCATACCAAAACAGACTTACGTCACCACGCTTGGTAGAAACAGTTGTACAAAAATCCAATTCCATACCAAACAAACTTATGTCACCACGCTTGGTAGGAACTAATCTTTTTATTTAAAAAGATGTAAAATACCCCTTTTTATAAATCCATAATCAAACCCAATAATAGACATTTCAAACTATATAAAATGTCTAAAATATATAACTCATGAATATTTTCAAGTAAAAGTTATCCGGATAAGTTATCCGGACATACAATCCGGACAAAACTTGCCCCCTTTTTATCCGATTTATTAATTCAGACAACCTACGATCTAAGACTAAATCGCATGATTTATACCCGATTTAAAGCAATCTGAACAACACATGGTCGGATTAAGGCTAAACCGTTCAATATGTGGTCGGTTTATAACTAATCCGCACAACTCTTAAGCAATTTAAGGCTAAATCACACAATACTTGGTCATATTCATACTTCTCCGTTCAAAACCTATGTCCAGTTTACATAATTCAAAATCTCACCAACTCCCTAAATCACATGACTCTTGAGCGATTTATAACTAAGTCGGTCACCTCTTATCCGGTTTAAGAGTAATCCGGACAAGCTTTGTCCGGTTTATACTTAATCCGGTTACCCTTTGTCCGAATAAAGATCTTTAAAAAAAATACTGATTTCTTTCCAATAATAAACAACATTCAAGTAAAACCAATAACAAATTTTATGCAAAAAGGTTTTAGAAATCACTCACCTTATGCAAAAACTCTGATTTTGAAGAAGATGAAAAAGTCACTTTAAATTCAAACTTGGTCTCCGGTCAATTCTTCTCTCTAAATTCTCTCAACTTCCAAATGAGGCAAGAAAAATGCCTCCTTATCAAAAACTTCATATTTATACTTTCCTATAAAGGAAAGTTGGCTGAACCAGCCAACACCAACCACACATACATACATGCAATCACATGCCCACACATACATGCATATTGATGCATATATATATATATATATATATATATATATACATAGCACGTGTATATATATATATATAACACATATTATGCATATTTCTCATGCATAAAATACACATACTTACGCATTTTAACTCATGTAAGCATGTATCAATATAAACAATTAACTCACATAATAAATACCTTGAGCAATAACCGGACCCGGTTATCACAAAGAGCGAAGGCAAGATTCGAGAGTCTTACCCGTTAAGTAAGGACGATGACTCTTACCATGGTTAGCGCTTACGTGGATAAATTGTTGCGTACGAGGCGTTTTAATGAATAAAATCTTACTCGGTAAGTGATGGTATTGAATTTTACCGATAAATACTTATCGGGTAAGTGTTTAGGTAAACGACCCCTAAATTTGTTTATCTTTGGTGTTAGAACTATTTTTATTACAAAAATTTGATATTTATATATTTTTGGTTGTTTGTTTGTAAATGATATTTGATTATAATATTTATTAATTATATCATATATTATTTTATAATACATAATAAATTTTAAATTTATGTTTCAAATTTATTTAAAAATTTAATATTTTAATATAAAACGTACCATTGACATGCATATTACAATATGTGAAATAAAAAGATACATAACATGGAAAATAATTTAAAAAAACATAGTAGCTATAAATAATAATTATAACGGTATCATTGAAAAATTATAAGTTATGGATAACAAATATATACCTGAAATATTCTATTTGTGATTAAAAATGAGTTGGAAACTGGTTACCATTTACTTCAAATTTACATTATTTTGAATAAAAATAAAAGAAACTGTTTCGTATTATATAATATAATGAACTCATTCTTTAAGAAACCTAAATTTTCATTCCAGATTAAACTAGGGAATGAAAATTCATTCCCATTTTCATTTCATTTCATGTTCATTTTCATTTCCTAATATGAACCAAACAGCCTCTTATTGTTTAGTTATATAGAATTGAAAGAAAAAGATTAAAAAAAAAACCAAAATGATCCTCGTTTAACTAGACTTAAGGAAAAAAGTTAACGTTCAATTAAAAAAAGAACGGAAAAACCGTTGGAACTTGACAAATATGAGCACAAAACCGAGGTAATGAAGTGATGGAAATTGACAAATATAAAGGGCAAAACTTATTATTACATTTATATTTATTTATTTATTTATTTATTTATTTATTTATTCATCAACATCATTAAAAAAGCAAAAAAAATTGTTTCTATTCATTTGTTTATACATTAACATCATTGAAAAATAAATAAATTATATAATAACTTAATTGATAAGATTTTGAATTTGTTTCATTTATTTTTATGGAATAAGATGAGGTATAGATAAGTTATCCCGAACATTATGCTTATAAAAAGTTATTAATAACGAACAATTTTTTTTCTTTTTTTATTTTATCTGTTTTATTTAAAATGCACTGTCAAAAATACATGCAGGGAGACTGGCCAAAAACGTTATCATGACAGGAAATGTTCTTCTGAATGGAAAGAAAAAGAGATTGGACTATGGTGTCATTGTGAGTATGCATATTCTCTAATCTTTATAACACATCATCGTCACAATGCGGCTATGACATAAATAAACAAGAACTACAAAAAAGATTGAGAATTATTAGGATTACTGATCATGTCTTATTGTATACTGTAAAATAATGCTCGTAAAAATACAATATAATTCACATTAAAAATAACCGTATTGTAAAACAATACTATATTTTTCATATGTATTGTTTTACAATATGAAATAATATGTTTAATGGTATTACCTTCTCAATCTTTTTAACTTTACACAAATATATAAGATTCAAAGTTGATTCATTTTCCATCTTTAATTATATAAAGTTTCAATAATACCCTTTTATATATTAACTTTACAAATTATATCCACATGTTTTTTTAAGAACTTAACAAGTTTAATTATTAATTAAGAATTAAATTATTTTATCTCAAGGCAAAGTTCTATCATCAAAATTTCTCAAGAACCTCTATCATCAAATGCATCATCATTCTATCTCAAGGCAAAGTTCTATACGAATCGCTTTATTTGGTCTAATTCAAATTTTGAATCTGTATTTAGAACCTTATCACTGCATGCCTAAACACAAATTTTCCCAAACTTCCTCGCCACATCTTAACCTTAAAAAATTTCGTAACACAAATTGCAGTACCAAAACACGCTTCTACCTCATAATTGTAACTCTTATGAAATCACCCTTCAAGGTGGTGTTCATCTCTTACGAGCCTGATTTGATCCTTTCTATTTAAATGATCCTCGTCGATCTTGCATAAGCAGAATCTTGCACATCTTTGACCCTACCACTTTAACAATCAAACCCGAATGATTGACTTATACACACGCACATTCATTTCCATTATGACTAACCCAACGAAGTAACAGTTTCGAACATTTCAGTTAACTAACATCATTATGGTTTCCTCTTGGGATAATCTAGTCACCATATCCCAATGTTAAATCTTTACACAAATGTAACTTGTCAATCAAAACCATTTCTACCAGAAGAAACGTCTTTTGTACACATAAGTTACCATTTTTCATTATTTGACACTTCAACCTAGATAAGCATCATTCATACACATGCAGTTAATCGCCCCAAACATAGCGATTACCCAACATCCATATTACACATAAGGGGTGAAATAGCATATGATGAAATCCCTTCCATTCCTATTCTCTTCAAATTACGTTAGGGTTATCTCTTGATTTCTAGGTTTGCTAAAATGACAAAACTAACATTGAACACTTCAACGGTTCTTGACTTCAAAGTCAATCTGTCAATGTGATGATAATTGCATGTACGGTCATAGATGCCGACTAATGAGCCCTATATCTATGACTTCGTTGCATCATAACTACCATCTTCAACCTAAACCATCATTTATCAACAAGACTAAAACCCATTAATGCATAGACTATTTACAAGTCTACCATAACGCCTAGGCATAAATTCAGTGTGTTGAAATTTACTTCATTCCATATAATTATTTCATCAAGAAAATATATCACTACCAATTAGCATGTAACCACTTGAAGTTAAACATCCAACAATTCAAATTAGCCCTAGTTATAAGCAAAAACATCTCGATGATACCAACCAGAAAAGTTAAAGCTTGGATAACAGACACCGTTAAGAAATCTAGTAACTTAAATTTCCATTAAGAACCGACTTTCCAAGTTGAAATCTTGAAATTCACAAATCAACCACAAACTATTCCTTAATTTCTCAACTCCTAAATTGTCATTCTTTCTCTTAATTGCAATATTCTCCAAATCGAGGTTTTGGCCCAAAATATAGAATGTTGTAAAATCAACCACACAAATTGTGGTGAGTACGTTATCAATATATAGAAGAAGATTACAGCAGACTCCCCTTTAATCAAGGAGGATTTGCAGGATAATTACAAGAAAAACAATATCTTCTAAAAATACATTTATTCCGCTAATACCCCCCTTCAATCGAAAGGGCGGTGGACTAAGCTTGAGCATAGCATGAAGTGTTTCAAATTGAGATCTTGGCAAGCTCTTGGTGAAGATGTCAGTGACCTGGAGATTGGTTGGTACGAACTTGGTATACAGTTTGCTGGATAAAACAAGTTCGTGAATAAAATGATAGTCAAGATCAATATGTTTTGCTTGCTTATGAGAGACCGGATTTTGAGTGAGAAACAAGGCACTTTTGTTGTTGCATGAAATGGTTGCACGGTCTAGCGGTAAGGCATGTTGTTCTCATAACAGGTGAGTGATCCAGATAATTTCAGTAGTAGTATTTGCCATGGCACGATATTCAGATTCACACCTGGATCTTGAGACAGTAGGTTGTTTCTTAGCACTCCAAGAAACGAGGTTGCCACCAAGAAATATAGAGTAGCCATAAGTTGAGCATCTGAATATCCTAGAAGAGTAAAAGAGAGACCAAAAGACAACGTCCCATTGACATAACGCAAGATCCTTTTAACTAACTGGTAATGAGTAATGGTGGGAGCATGAAGAAATTGACTGACTTGATTGACAGAGTAAGATAAGTCAGGTCTCATAATGGTCAAGTATTGGAGAGCACCAACAAGGGATCAATATAAAGTTGGATCAGAGAGCAAGTTGCCAGCGGAAGTAAAAGACTCATGAGGAGCAAGAGGTGTAGGAACGACTTTGGATTCAAGAAGACCCGCTTATTGAAGAATGTCACGTGCATACTTCGCTTGGGATAAAAATAAGCCATCATCAGTATAAGAAACCTCAAGTCCCAAAAGTAATTAAGATGTCCTAGATCTTTGGTAGCAAATTCACGATTGAGCTCTGAAATAAAAGTAGTAGTAAGATGCTCATTACAGGATAAGATCGTCAACGTAGACGAGCAAGTACATGATGCAAGAATCTCGTGTGTAGACAAAAAGAGAGGTGTCAGCACGGCTACACATAAAGCCATAAGTGGTAAGAAACGTACTCAGTCGGTGAAACCATGCTCGTGGAGCTTGTTTTAAGCCATATAGAGCTTTTGACAGCTTGCATACATAAGTTGGGAAATGAGGTTCATTGAAGTTGGGAGGTTGCTCCATAAAGACTGTCTCATTTAAGTTTCCATTTAGGAAGGCATTTTTAACATCTAGTTGATTCAATTTCCATCCATTTAACACAACAAGAGATAGGACGATGCGTATGGTGGTGGCCTTAACCACCGAACTGAACATTTGAGAATAGTCTAACCCCGGTATCTGCATAAAACCTTGGGCCACTAAACGAGCTTTAAATTGTTGAATGGAGCCATTGGAGTTGTATTTGATACAATATACTCATTTAGAGCCAACAACGTTTGATGACGAGGGGCGAGGGACAATAGTCCATGTGTTGTTATGTTTCAAAGTGTCCATCTCCTCTTGCATGGCAGCCATCCATTTAGGATTTTTGGCAGCCGATTTAAACCCACGGGGTTCAATGGTAGCTAAAAGAGAATATTGTAGAGGGTTCGTGGTGAAAAAAGCAAGATCGGCAATACGCTTTGGTTTAAAAATGCCATCCTTTACTCGAGTAATCATAGGATGTAAAAAGGAAGTGGCGGTGTGGGAGGGGGTAGGATCGATAGCGGTGGCAGTAGGGGCTTCAGTAGTGATTTGTGGTTGCGGAGGTGGCGAAGGTGTTGATTCAGACAGATGGTCAATTTCTGGAGTGGACGGAAACTGAGTCGGTGTAATGGGTGGTGAGGCAGTGGTCTCCGTGGAGGGAGATCTGGGTATTAAGTCAGAAGTACTTGTAGATCTGCATAAGGTATATGGAATGATAGGTAGAGCGTCGATCCGAGAGGGCAGAGCAGATTTTTGTGGAGGTGAGAAAGCCCGAAGTGTCTTCAAGGAAGGTTGATAAATCCAAAGTGGACAAATCAGATGGGCCGAAAGATCCAGCAAATGGAAATACACTTTCATTGAAGCGAGCATGACATGTAATATAAATGCGAGAAGTAAGTGGATCAAGACACTTATACCCCTTGTATTAAGAACTGTACCTGATGAAGATACACAGAAGACTTCATGGAGCAAGTTTATGTGGAGATAAAACTCGTAGATAAGGGAAGACTTGGCAACCATATGCACGAAAGTGACTGTATTGTGGTGGTTAGGAGAAAAGCAACTGAAATGGACTAATATTGTCCAATAGTTTCGTAGGTAAACGGTTGATGATGAATGTGGCGGAGCTGAAAGCATCTACCCAATAGGTTGCAGGGATGTTGGCATTAAATAACATGGCGAGACCCGTTTCGATGATGTGTCTATGTTTGCGTTCCGCACACCCATTTTGTTGTGGCATGTAAGGACACGAGAGATGATGAAGAGTGCCATTGTCGTCAAAGATCTTGCGAACCATATGATTTACAAATTCAGACCCACAATCACTTTGAAATACTTTGATTTTTTTGAAAATTGAGTTTGGACGAGGTTGATGAAGGTTAACAGAACCGAGTAAAAACCTATCTTTGTTTGGAGAGGATAAAACCAAGTTAAACGAGAATAGTCATCCACAAAAATGACATAGTACTGATAACCATCACGAGAACAAATAGGAGAAGGTCCCCACAAGTCATAATGTATTATATCTAGAGGATGCAAAGCACGTTTAGTATCGAGTTCAGAAGGTAATCTGTGTCTCTTAGAAAGTTGACAAGACATGCAAATATAAGATTTAGGTAAAACCGAAGTTAAAGACAAAACACCCAAGTTATTCAAAACAGAAATTGTATGAAAAGAAACATGCCCAAGACGAGTATGCGATAACTCATATGAGGCCCGATTGGAGACACTGTGACTTGCAAGGAGAGCTTGAGGGCCATCTTTAAGCACATAGAGTCCATTCTCACACTTCCCTTTGGCTAGAATCTGTTTGGTTTTTTGGTCCTGAATGGAGAAAAACGGCTGAGAAAATAATACATCAACCGGATAATCCATGGTTAGTTTTCTAACAGATAACAACTTCTTGGTGAGAATAAGAATAACGAGTACATCACGTAATAAA